AGAATGTAAGAGAGAAGTAGACAAAAAAATGGTACAACTAGTAGTTGACAATAGAAGAGAAAAACGCGAATTAGATAAATAGGCCTCCAAACTAATAGAATTAGCCTTGCAAACTGGTTCAAACACTCTTAACTTTTGTACAGGATTAGTAGAAAGCAATGCAATCGAAGAAGCTGCTAATTTAAATTGTTATAGAAAGAAGCTAGAAACAATGGCAAAAAAATAGATTCTAAAAGTACAAAAGAAGGTTTGCAACCAGATCCGAAAATAAGTCTGGAATATAAGATGTGAAAAGATCATTGAATGGAAACAAGAACAAAGAATTAATAGAAAAGCAAAGTATAAGAAGGCTTAGGAAGCAAGAAGGCAAGATCCACAACATAATCTTGGTTATAAAAGTACAAGACAAAGAGAAGAAGTGAAAGAGAGTGAAAACAAAAACCTTGTAAAAATTGTAAGAAATGGGATTAGATATGGGATGAAGTGGTTGGGTTTTGATCCTTATCAGAATATTGTACAGTGATCCGCAGTAGTGACTTGTGAGCAATAATGTTAAAAGTTGGAAGGGTTTCCACCTGAACTACTAACGGAACAATAAATCACTCCAAAAGTTGCACTTAGAGTCCTAAATAAATATAAAACTTTGATGAGTGAGTTGGTTAGAGATTTAGCTTTAGTGTCACATATATAATGTATAGCTTACAATTGTTTAATAAAGTACACATAACTAGCCTGACAGAGGGTTATAAAAAATATATATATATACATAATTAGTTTAATAGAAAATTAAAAAAATAATAAGTCAGTTGTCATGTGAGTAGTCTATGTAATATTGAAATACTTATTTAATATTTTACTAAAGATATATTATGTTGAATAATTGTAGATTTAAAATAAATAAATAAATAAAATACAAATAATTTTATTTTTTGATTTTTTATTTTTATGAAAAATAAATATCAATTGTCATATTTTGAAATTGATTTTTTTTTTTTATAAAAATCAAAAAAAAATTTTTATTAGCTTAAGAATTTCTTTAAATAAAATTTAACTAAATTAATAAAAAATTATAATATTTAATAAATTAATATTTTAAATATAATAAATTATTTAATAAATTAAAAATTTAAATATAATAAATTATAAAATTATCAATATTTGTTTAAAAATTTTATTATATAAATCATCAAAAAGGAAATATCTCAACAAAATATAATTGGAATGTTTTGTTTTTGCGTAAATATTTTGTATAAAATGATATAAAACCAATAATTCTTAAAAATCCGAAAGGAACATGAAATACAATATTTTTAATTTTGGCAAGAAAGCAAAATAACGACATTAAAGACACGTCATTTCTCATAAGCAAACTCTTGTTATTTAAAATGTCGTCATATAGACACTAATAATATAAATAGACATCATCTTTTCAATCTTTGAATATAAACTTCTCTGCCTTGAACAGGACAAATAATCTTTATTGACAATTTCCCGCGGCAAAATCTTAGAAATGAGTGGTAAAGGTCAAGGGAAAGGGAAAGCGAAAATTCTGGGTAAAGGAGTTTCCAGGTCTGCAAGGGTAAGATAGTTATCGGGAGATCCTAAGCAATGTTTCAGGGTTACACGCGAATAAGATGCATTCTCCTAAATGTATTAATTGTTAGGCTGGCCTTCAATTTCCCGTTGGCAGATTACATAGGCATCTTCGTAACGGAAACTATGCCTTTCGTGTCGGTGGCGGAGCTCCTGTTTACTTGGCTGCCATTCTTGAGTATCTGACCGCCGAAATATTGGAGCTTGCCGGGAATGCTGCACGTGATAATAAAAAGTCGAGAATTATTCCCCGCCACATTCAATTGGCCATTCGTAACGACGAAGAGCTGAATAAATTACTTGGACATGTTACAATTTCCGAAGGCGGAGTGTTGCCTAATATTCATCAGGATTTGTTGCCAAAAAGAACAGGGAAAGAGAGCAAGAAAGGTAGAAGTAAATTCTTATTTCATATCACTGTTGTTAGATTTAATTAACCGCAAATATACCTTTTCTGTAGGAAAGACAGCTGCTGCATCACGACCAGCTGACGAAAATGTCGGAGCTGAAGAAGAAGCCGGCGAAGAAATGGGCGGCGGATCCGAATAAACATGAGATGTACATATTTTTTTCTTGAATCTATTCAGCGCATCCTTTTCACATTACCGTATTTTTATTTTACATGTTCAATCTCATACAAACGCTTTGCTTTAATCATAATAGCCGCTTTTCAATTGCAATCCTTAAGCCTTTATATAAGTATGCATAGGAAAAACATCGACACTTTAATATAAAGTTTAAGGTGTTCGAAATAGCAATTCTTTGAAGGGACGCGTAAACGAAAAAGCGAACCTAATTTATTATTACTTTAAATATTGTACATTGATATATTTTTCATTATTTCCTTTACATTTTTTCTTTTCAACAGTGTATTTACAATTTTCTATTAAATCTAAGTTTAGTATCAAATTTGAATATAAAAAGTTGTTACTACTTTATGCAAATAAATTAGAAAAGGGAATACGTATAATTTCAGACCGCATTTCAAAAGTCATTTAAAAATCAATCATTACGTATATTTAATTACAATCTATCATGCGCAGTTTTAAACACTGTATTACAATCACTGCGATCAACACCCAAATAACCCACCAAGTATTACTCTAGATGTATACTTGGCGCTCTCTTAAATTTTCTGCATAACAGTAACCCGATAGCAATCGTACAGGCGCCAAAACCTGCTGAAAGCAAAATCAGTGTAATTAACAAATGATCCATATCATTTACATCGTTGAATGAACTGTTTGCCGGGACCGATGATAGCACCGAAAATCTTAGTGAAACCTGGAAGTAAATATCTTCCTTACTCGGATTTAGTATTACGAGGCAAAGTAAATTCATAGACTTATTCTTATAAGATTGACGACATCTTTTTACAGGTGTGCCGCAAGACACTTGATTGATATATGACAAAACCCCTTCGTCAGTGATGGCTTTTAGAGAATTCTTTTCCATCGTTAACACTATTATTCCGTCATCGCTGTGTGGAACGGATGAAATGTTTACGAATTCGTTTACTCCGAAGTCGACAGCTATCTGTGGCCGTGCTTCCAAGTGTGGGTTCATCACTGTTACTGCATAACCTGAGACACAAAAAGAACAATTAGAAACTCTGTGGTATTACGTGTTGCGATAATGTGGTAACCTGCCTATATAATTTATGGATTGAGGTCCACTACATTGGTACCAGGCGGATGAAGGAGATACAGCTGAGATTCCATTAAAGTCTTGCTGTGCGTATGTTAATGATGTCTGTATCGTTATTGTAAAAAGAGTACAAATAAGCTTGATACGGAAAAATTACAAAAAATAAATTTTTACGAACCTCGAATAATAAAATTATGGTAAGCACACTTGCAACGAGACCGAGATGGACAATCTTATTAGGCATTTTTAAATGACTAAAATAATTTTTGAAAATTTCGTTACTTTCTTTTTGTCATTACAAGAAAAGAAATTGGAAAAAAAAAAAAAAGAAATCCGCGCAACATGCAGTTTTTATACTATTTACGGACCACCATGATAGTACAAATCACTCCCGAAAAATCAACGTGCCCATTGTAATGTACATGCCATAAATGTTTTTTTTTAGTTTTTTTTAAATCCGTTCGTCTCAATGTACGGGATCATATTAAGTACGTATAGACATCGATCGGCTGGGCTGGAAGTGCACACACGGACTCAAAAAAGGGGGGTTAAAAGAAAAAAAATTCTTAAATTTTGAAAATTAAATAAATTATGATATACATTATATGAAATAATATAAAATTACAATGGATTTCGAAAGCAATGTATGTATATTATATATACAGATTGGGACAAAACTTTTTACCCTCATTTTTTCATTTTATTTTACTTATAATTTAATAACTATTTAATAAAATTCAATAATAATATATATATATACAGTATATATATATTTAAGAATATAAAAAACTAAACTACCTAAAAAAATTTTTAAAATTAATTATAAAATTTGTTAGATTATAATTTAAAAAAATTTTTTTTAAAAAAACATTGATTTTAAATATATTACAAAATTTATAATAAAATATTATTATAATTATTTGGATTATTAAATTTATAAAATAAAGATAAATAAATATATATTATAAAATTTTTAGTCATATAATTTATTTAAGTTTAGTAAAAATATATATATATAGTAAATATTAATTTAATATTAAATTACTATTTTTGTTTACTTAAAAATTTTTTAAAATTAAATTTACAAAATAAAAATTAAATATATTATATTAAATATATTAATATAGCATTAAAAAGTCTTTAGGAATTTTTTATATATCAAAAAAAAAATTTTTTTTTTTAATCAATTACAGTATTTTTAAAAAATTTTACTATAGTAAAAAATTTATTTTTCAACTACCCTTATATAGTATATAAATTTATATACAAAAATTTATAATAAAAATTTTTAATTATTTTTTTAACTTTAAATCAAAAATTTTAAATAAAATCATTAATCAAAATTATTATTAAAACTCAAGTATTTTTAAAATTAAATTCTAAATTATTTATATTAGAAAATTTATTTTGATAAAATAATTCTTTATTAAATTATAATAAAAAATAAAAAGGTAAAAAGTTTTGTTCTAAATTATGTATACAGTATTTCTAAATTTTAAATCAATATTTAATTCCATAATATAATTAATATAATCATATTATTTACTTATTTTTTAAATATATATAAAATTAATATAAAAATATTATATTTATGTATATCAATATATAAAAATTATTTCAACTTTTATTTAAAATTTAAAAATTAAATTTATTTATATTTAAATTTATTAAACCATTTTTCTAATTTAAAAATTTGATTTAATAATTTAATATTGAAAAAATTTTAAAAAAATTATTAAATTTTTTTATTTATAAATTTTTATTTTTATAAATTAAATTAAATTATTATTTATTTTATTTTATTTATATAAATTCTAACTTAATATATTTATTAAATTTAAAAAAATGAATTTATAATCTATGTTTATTGCTTAATAGTCACTAAAATATTAAATCTGAATTAATATGAGTCTTTATTATTTTATTTATTAATCATAAAATATTTTAAATAAATAAAATAAAGACAATATAATATAATAAAACACAATATTAAATAAATATGATTATAAGATCTCTTATTATCTGTTAATAACTAATATAATTATTATTATAAATCTATAGATATTTGTTTATAGTTTATTAGTAATTTGGATCTCTCATTATTTCAAAACTTTAGGATAAGTAATTAAGTCATATAATTTGAAATATATTATATTTTTAGTAAAATCTTAATATTATATATCCAAAATTCTAAATTTTTAATTGATTTAAAATTTTACTTAACAATATTTTTCTAATTTTTAATAAAAAATATTATCCTATTTAAATACCTATAGTTTTTTAAGAAAAAAAGCTCTTTTTTATAATTTTTTTTTTTCAAAAAATTTCCTTTTTTTTTTAGCAATTTTCTTTTTAACATTTTCTAGCTTTCATAAAAAGTTTTTCAAAATACTATACTATTTAAAACTCAAGCTCAATACAAAATAACTCAACAATAATAAACACTATCTCAAGTAATACATAAAGTTATACTCAAAATCAGCAAAACTTTACAATTAAAATTTAAGAAATAAAGAAAAAACAAATAGAAGCTATCTTTCTAACTATTTCTAATAATATTCTACACATTTCAATATAATAAATAAATATTATTCCAGCCTTAAACAAAATTTCCAATATTGAATATGAAAATATAAATTATCAAAATATTACTTTTTTTATTTTTAAAAGTTTTTACTTAAAACAAATTCTAAAATTAATTGATATGAAAAAACAAAGTATCAAACATAATATCAAAAAAAAAAAAAATTAAAATAAAACAGATAGTAAATAATCTATTCTAAGATTATTTTCAACTGACTAACAAATCAAATATGAAAAAAAGATTCAAATAAATAGTTTTTATTAAAGAGATTCCTAGGAAATATAATTATAGTAAAATATAAAATTTAATGAAACATCTTGTGTACCCAACAGTCAAAATCTATTTGGTAAAGTAAAAAAAGAATCAATATAATGCAATACTAACAAACTTTTTTTAAGAAATATCTACAAGAGAACTACAAAGAATTCTCAAACAAATATATATTCAGGTATGTTATATTCTTTTTAACCATCTCAACCAAAACAAATAGTTTGCAATTTTATATTTCAAGAATACTCAAGATCTAGACATAGTGAGAAGTATCATACTTCAGTTAAGAGATTTATAAATAATCTGGATATCCAAAACAATGAAGCTTTGTTTCTTCTGTGTTATCCAAAAGCATGACTTCAGTATCTGCAATATCAAGAAAAAAAAAAACTTTACAAAAAAACTGAATATATAGGCTCAGTCAATCTAGATTCCTATCTTCACAGTAAAGAGAACCTTCCTTTATAAGGTAAGACAAGTGATCTAATATGAAAAATATAGTCAGATCAAGAAAAACATATATATGCTAGTATCATAAGAGGATATTTTCATCAGAAAACACAAATAGAAATAATACTAAAGACTCTCAAACAGCTCCAAGTAGATATTAATGTAATCAAATATCAGGTTTATATATTGAACAGAAGTATAACAGCAATTAAAATAGATTCTTTCATTAAAACCAAAGAACTAGCCATAACAGACCCCCCTTTCAGATACAGCTTACTATAACAAGCTCAAATTTCAGAACTTCATCACTAAAAGGTATAAACATTAGACAACAACAAGAAATTTTGAATAGAAGAATTAGTCAGATAGAATTTATGATAGACTTTACTATAAAAGAAATAATGGACTGCTTAAACTTATTTATAGAGATATCAAGTATAACAAAACCAACTTTGCAGTTTCTTCAAAACAACTATGATTAATAGTAATATAGAGCAAGTATTCACAATAAGTGAGAATTAAAAAAAAGTAAATTAAGAAAAATACAAGGAATTTAAAAAATAGAAACAATAAATATTAGAGTAATTAATATAGAAAC